GCCGTGGCAAGCTCTACGAGCGAGCACCGACCACCGCCGAGGCAAAGAAACTGTTTTACAAAAAAGAAAGGCTGATGTAATGACCGCGTCTTCTTCGCCGTGTGACCGCAGCTCTCAAATGACTAAGAACGCGAGCGCGGAACGTGGCGGAGACACACAAAACGGTGTACCGCATGCATGCCCAAGCATTGCATGCGAGCAACAGGAACTGCGACTGCGAGCTGTCTCGTTCGTTCTAATCTATCGCTCTGTAGCTTCAACTGCGTGGATAGTTGACACCTATTTCTGTGCATGGTAAAAATATAGAAACTGCACTTCAGCAAGCATTTTGTGATCGCCAGCTGTCACTCATCGTATAACCGTGCCGAACTCCTGAGTGAGGCCTAGTCGTCGAACGCGGCAGCGGTGGTGTATTTCGGATCCTGGGTTCATTGCTGGTGCTGCTGAATGTGCGTCGTTGAAGTGCTCATGTACGGACGTTCGGGCTTTGTGTACGATTCAGTGTATTTTACGGATTCGCACACAGTACTGCTAATGCAAATGTTGCCCCTACAATAAAGCACCAAATGATAAATAACTTTCGCTATTGTTAAAATGATATATATTCAGCGAGTTTAGGATAAAGGCATGTGTGTTGAAGTACTTGAATTAGGCCATCGCAAGTATATATTTACGCTGTGCATGTTTATTTTCTAATTATTAGTAAAAAAAGGGTCCCTCCAGAGCTACATGAGAGGTCAAAATGAGGTGCCTATATATAACCGGCGACTAAGGTGATGTTGTGAAGCGCGAGCGGAAAGTTATGGTGAGTGTAAGTGTTGTAATATTATGTGAACATCATGTGCATGTTTGTTTACTGTGATCAATATTGAGTGCTTCGAAGGTAATTGCTTAAAGTTACGTCGCACCTAATACGGCTGCGGACGTAATTTTCTGTTTTTCTCAGCGGATGCAAAAATTTATTCTCATACTCACTTGAAAGAGATCACAGGGGGTTGTAACATAGGAACTCTCTTAAATCCATCCAAAATCCCCCTCCTGTTAGGGAGTAAATTTTTTACTTTCTCCGAACGGTGCTTTAAAAACCCCCATCGGGGCATGCGCTAAAGGACAAGTCGTTTACTGCCACCTCAGCTAATTTTTCTTTACAGTGATAGTTCTGTTCTTGTAGAAGAGCTTTCCAAAAGTGACGAATATTGAAAATTTCAAAACCAACGTCAAGTGGCCATGGGTCACTGCAACTGCTCAGCGACGAGGAGCCTTCAGATTTCGACGTCTTTGAAAAGAGACAGGCAATCGAAGGTGTGCGCAAATATGTATTGTGGTGCAGCACGATTATTCTTCTGAAGAACTTTTCCCGCGATTGAAAAGCAGTGTTAGACCCGCACAAGACTTTCAAGCGGAAGCTCTAAACTCCAACAAATATATGAATAAAACGCGAATCGGTGTAAATGTGGGTGGTATCTTCTGCGTTTTCTTTCAAAATTTTATTCAGTATGTTACGCGTGTAGCGGCAAAAAAGTCAGCCAAGTGTACAACTAATGCTCTTCGTAACGCCCTGAGGTGCCTTCAGGATATCTCAATAAATAGTATAAAGCCTTATGTTTAGGCATGCCAACGCTTCCGTCGCCCCAATCCGGGTTACTTCACAAAGGCAACCCCCCTCCCCGTACTTGAGTCCCGATGGCATTGGTTGACGTCAACGCGCAGCTGCGGCGCGAATAATTTGGCACCCCTCCCACACGTGCCGCGAGGGGAAAGCGTTGTCGCGCGTTCGGACCGACGCACGTATGTACGGCGTTACACACGTGAGTCAGAGCTGCTTTGAATCTAAAATCTATTACACCTGGCATCCTCCTATATAGTCGTCGTGACGGAGCATGACAGTTCGATGGTGGAGTCAACTTCATATAGCGAGATCGAATTATTGTAAATTTCGATCGCGTGAACAAACTAGGGTGTGTAATTTTCTGCGTTCACGAAAAATATTCTAACAAAAAAGAGCAATATTCTCTTCTCGGTGATTTAGTTGAAATATTCGGATGTTGCGAATGTGAGAAGCTTGCAATTACGGTGTCTGGCTGAACTAACAGAGAAGCTAGCTCTTTGACGGCCTAGTTTCTGAAAGCTTCTATGAGCTCAACGAAGTTGTTGCCATTTTCGGCTAAGCATTGCAAGGCTTGGCTATAGGAAGCGTAGAATTATTGTGGGAGGAAGCCGCAAGGATACGTTAGTAGACCATTACTTAGCCCTCTTTATTAACTAGCGTAGCTTTAGCTATTGTATGCTTTAAAGTTGTACAGCTTCACTTACCAATGCATTGTTACGCAACGTCCACAAAAGTTCAATAGGAAAAAAAAACTTACCTGCCGAGCAAGCGCTAGAATGTCGAGACCAATCACGATCGCTAAAAGTTGAGGCAAATCATAAACTTTTTCTTCCCTCTGCCTGGCCAGACCTCGACCTTAGGCGCTTCACTCAAAAAACAAAACCTGAAAAGAACGAATCATGGTGGCAGCAGTTGAAAGCTTCAACTCCACGAGACACCGCATCACGTAAATATTTTATTCAGGTCTTCTTACTAACGTTGGGAGGTACGCTTTCAAACTGCTGAAGTACGTAAGCACGAGCAACGCTCCATAAATTTGGTTTGAGCTTGTTACATCATTTCGGTAACAATTCTTTTTCATTGCGAATTTGATAGATTAATATTGCACGCAAAGCTTAGTACAGTACCAGCTTACATGAAGCCCTCTTTCACATGCCACGGCGCACAGTGAGGGAGCGTTTAAAGGGGTATTTCAATAGTGAATGATGTTTCTATGATGTGCGATGATGGGTTTACGCGAAGCTTCTTTTGAAAGTGCGCATGACAGAACGCTCCTCCACCACCGTAGCGGACAAAAGCATTGCTGAGGGAAGGCGGGCGACGCGGACTCTCAACAAAATGTGGCACAGTGCGACAAGTTAAAGATTGTGGCCTAACAAAGGCATATCTCTAAAACAGATTGGCTACGCTTGCCTGTGGCATTGCAGCTATCACAAAAATGTAGCAGCCAAGCACAGGAAGGAGACAATTCTTTGTAAGGCAGCACTTGAACTTGTCATTGCACGACTGACACATTCCCTTCCGCAGCAATAAAACGCCAGAAAGAAGCGAGCGGCAGAGCAGGAGGACGGTCACAGGCGGATAAAGTAGCTGTGACACAAAATTGGGCTAGCGTGACGTGTGGCTCGTAGTGCATGGGGTTGTCGATGCCAGAGAACGAGTAACACGACCTGCTTAGAAAACGAAGACCGGCTCTCACCTTACGGCAATGATGTTACAGCTAGTTTTGAGTGATCGAGGCGTGTGCGCTTTAAAAATTGCGGAGAGTATCGCAGGAGTAAAAAACGTCAAGTTACTCATCACTGTTCTTCTTTTCTCTCAAAGCATCAGAGGAAGGTAAATTCATTTTCGCTGTGTATAAAACCAGAGAGTGAACTTGCCTTCTACTCGGCTTTCAGAGAGTGAATTACCGATATACTCTTCAAGCACGAGAGCCAAACGCAGTTGTACACCTGCTCTTGATTACATTTAGATGCATCGGCACACCGCTAGTGATGATCACTATTTAATAACCACATATATATATAGTAAAACGTACTTTATTTGTTTGTTGTTGCGTTAGAGACGATTAACAAATAAAACAGCGTTTCTAGAGCGCGCCAGTTAATTTCAGCGCACATGAAGGCTATTATTATATATCTCCTAATATATCCACATCTTTATTTTTATTTACGATGTCTGCATAGAAATAATCGAGTACTACCTTGTTCAATCAGCCTTGATCAAAACTAAACGCAAAAGGCCATCGCATTCTCCTTATATTACTAATCATAATTTTTGCTATGACCATCGCACACGGAAAATGGTGCAATAAACCCAACGTACCATACGGTTACAGTGAAGTATTTTGGCTGTAGTCCTAGAACATGGACAAGGATGGCGGAAAGTTTGTCCAAGTGGGTTAAAAAAAACCTAATGGTACAGTGTGCACTTCAGAAGCGCGACTTTTTGTACGCAGAAATGACTTACCGCTTAGCGAGGCGGTGCACATTCCGTTCTTATAATTGGTTTAGCTAATCTTTTTTTATTACAGTAAAATAGGTCGGATGAGCCTTCTGTTCTCACGAAGCACAGAACACACTAAACGCGTCAGTTAAAGTACGTACGGCTAGTTTTCAGCACAGAGACACTGAAATCGGCTCTACTCTACAAGAAAAAGCAGCCAGATCACAAACAACACGAACGATATCAAGAAATCTACATAGATTTATCGTTTTTCAGTGTGGTAAGGTAGTAACCATGTCGGGCATGCAATATGCAGTGCGTCTTGAGGTCGACTTTAACCTTTTTTTTCTTTTCTGTCCGAGTTCTTGTATTCAGCCATTCTTACGATTCTCAACAGTAAATGTGTTAAAAACAGTTAGAAAGCTCTTTTTTTTTGGCCCCAGTTCCACTTTTGTCGTGTGGTGTACTACTTTTCTCGGTGAGGTCATGCTACTCTGCTGCGGGCAGTGTTACGTTACTGTGTCGAGGCAGAGTGCTTTGACCCATTCTGAGGAAATATCTGTACTCTGGCTCAAGAAGAGGTGATTAACTATGAAAAAGAGAGTGAAAAAATAGGCCAAGAAGGTATTCTCTGAAAAACAAAAGTGCCCAGCACTCTTAGTCCTTAGAGTGTGGGGCTGCTAGAACACGTTACCTAGGAAACTAGCCACAGAGGGATCACGCTCTCTTGTCACAAAGTGAATGAGACGGCTTAGGATTTTATTGACTTTTGATCACAGCTCACTGGTTGTAAGATGTAAATAAATGTTTGTGCAGTTCGACATTACAGTTGGGATTTTACCAGGTGTTTCATTTTTAACAATCAAAATTGTCGAATGTCCATTTCATCGTGGTACAGCATAAATGTAGGCCTTAAAAGAACGCTTTAATAAATTTCGTTTTGCAGCATGACTCTGCAGAAGCTCGGGATGGTGACCCACGCTACCTGGCACCGGAGCTGATGGCTGGCCACTTCACAAAGGCAGCTGACATATTCAGGTAGGATTTTAATATCTATAATAATAGAGCAGGGATGCAATTTCTTAATCGTTAGAATACCAGCTTCACGTATCAAAGTTGCGAATACAGGCATGACATGCGTACATATTCCAAGAGGCCGGACGCTGAAGAAAATTCTGCGAAGGGTCCAATTGCGTTGTAGCACGAGGTGGCTCCGAAGGGAACCTGCTATTGCACAAACGTTGTTAACGCAGCAATGAGCTTTATAATGAGAAGGTCATGTTGATTGTGAACGCATGGTGGGAGTAGCCACTCATCTTTGCCACTTAATCTTAGTTTGCACGCTGCTGGAGTCAGGCATTATATCGTCCTGCATAGACCTCGCACTTTTAACAGCGCACTAAATATTCATTCTATCTTAGATTCTTTTAAAGCACAAGTCTAAATACAGGCAGACATAAACAAAGGCAGGATGACAAAAATGCTTCCGGATTCACTTGCCTAATGTGACCACCGCTGAATATATTAAGGAAAGCAGTGGTGGTTCGGGCATCCAGCGCACGAAGCAGAACTGGAAATTAACCATAGCACTACCATGCAAGTCACAAGGGTACGTTGCAATAGAATTGCGTACCACTCCTTGTTCGAAAAAATGTCGTGGCGCAAGCACAACTACTGAAGCTGGAATGTGATTGGTCGAATACCTCTACAGGCCACGCTTGTCAATTAGATTATCAAGAATGTACACTGGCGTTGAAGAGTGATTAGGGGGTGCACAATTTATTCGAAGAGGTGGACAGACCACAAGATGAACGCAGCGTAGCAAAGAAAAAAGCAAAACGAGTAAATGCGCTAACATTCCCTGTATTCTCGGTCATCACAGCAGCGCCACTACTCATTTTCAACTTCGGAGTGATTTACGAACTCTTCAACAATTCAAGGCAGGTGGCATATTGTTATTTTCAAGGGAGAATAACGCATAGCTTGGCGTTTATCAAGTGAAAGTACAAAACAAGCATAACAGCCGCATTCTACATGAAAAGGCACGTGTGAATGGCCCTGTCTTCGGCCGCGTGTTTGTCGTTTTGATGTATAAAACAAGGATGCATCTGAGATACCTATTCAGTTTTAAACTCTCCCGAGTAGACCACGCCCCGCCGCGGTAATCTAGTAACTAAGGTACTCGGCTGCTGACCCACAAGTTGAGGGATGAAATTTCAGCAGCGGTGGCTGCGGTTTAAATGGAGGCGAAAACGCTGCAGGCCCGCGTGATTACATTTGGTTTCATGTTAAAAATCCCCAGGTGGTCGAAATGTCCGGAGCCTTCCGCTGCGGAGTTTCTCATAATCATATGGTGGTTTTTGGACGTTAAACTCTACAGATTATTCAAATAACAAGACGACCTCAAAAATGACACTTAAAGGTGTATATACAATGTGAGATGAAGCCAGTGCAATTGTCTTGCAGAAAGTTGTCTCGGAATCAGTAATGGTCTGGCACACTGAACGCAAGGCAATTAGTGCTACTCTATAAAATTACCCACCTCCCCCCTATCAGCAGGTGTTCGATAACTCTACGCTGGAAGCTCACGTTCGCAGAGAGGTATGATTCCGCAGTTCTTCACGTTCTTATTTTTTACGTGCATACTGGTTAGAGCTTGTCCGGTGAAGCTACTGGACTTTTTGCACCGCATGGACTTCTTTTTCAGTCTCGGCATCACAGCGCTCGAGCTGGCCTGTGACCTAGAGCTGCCTAGTCGAGGTGAAAATTGGCACGTGCTACGTTCGGGAACTCTACCTTATGAGCTCACGCAAGGTATGTACATGTTCCAAGCAAGACCAATGACACACCTGCGCTAGTGGATTTTGCTATACTGAGTGCTGGTGGCATTGCAGGTATTTCACCGCAGCTTCGCGTTGTGATGGAGCAGATGATGCACCCTGACCCTGAGAAGCGGGTCACAGCTGACCAACTTCTTGCCATGTCGGCCATCTATAGACTAAGCCTGTGGCGATGGCTCTATGTCGCACGAAGGAGAGCGGTGAGCACCTCAACCGTCATGCTTGTATGGCAGCGTTTTACGCAATACTGCTTGTTTCAGGAGACTCAACATTTTCAATTTACGACGTGACCTCGAAAGTGCACGGTATAATTATTTCAGGGGCAGACTGAGTGATGTGCATTGGCGTGGAAAGTGTTCATCAAGCGACTATGTTCTGAGGCGAAATCTTTTTTGTTCTGTCTCGCAAATTGATCCCATGGCAATGAGCTTGAGCCACCGGAGCCCACATCAAGATGCATCCGACCAGCCATGACAAAAGGGTTGCATGGCTGAAGCCATAGAAATAGAACGCTCTACGGGGCGCTACAACCACAGTTGATGTGCTTTACTTCCGACGTTTTTCAATCAAGTGATGCCTAGACATCACACCTAAATCTAAAGCGTATGTGCAGAGGTAATCAAATGTTTCAGTTACGGTTCATTCCAAGGCAAAAAAGTTTGTGAGAGAAACAGTAGAACACCAACACGATTGCACACTCGTAGTGTTTTCTGGCTAGTGTAACAGCGCAAGGGAAGATGGCACGAAGGTGCTGTTATGGGGCATCGCATGCAATAAACAATGTCCCATCATTATCTCCAAAACTCACAGCGCGGTCTCTGCTGCAAGCGTCATGGCCTCAATTAAAGCCTTGCACTTCCGGTTCTTCTTTACGACCATCGTTTGTGTACTTTGCTAGTCATTTTAACTTTATTATTTCACGTCAACGGGAAATATATTTCTAGTGACTGAAATATATTATACTTTATTCTATTGGTGTTCCGCTATTGGTGCTTGCGCGCCAAGTAAAACACGGCAAAATGGGGCACAAGTCACTGCATTTAGGCTAAAGAACTAAATTTCCAGGATCTTCACATAACTTTACATGAGTATGCCGTCTAGATATCGAATTCATTACTTCAGCACTAGATTCACGTCATCGTTGTTTTTCAGGTTCACTGGGTGAAAGACCTGCTGCTACTAACCTGGTTCTGGGTGCAGCCTTTCCTTGAAAGTGCCTGGAGCAGGGCCTCGTTTCGCTGGATGTACCCACCCGTACCATCCAGCCGTCTTAATGCAGTTCATGAGACACCCGTCCAAGCTACCCACATTTTTTCTGATGGTTTGTGAATATGGTACTTTGCAGCCAAAGCGCCTCGTATCATTTTTATAAACCTGAAAGTTACCACCATTTTGTCAGTGAATTGCCAATACATTTGGCCAGAAAATTGATGGGGGACACTGTTGCCAAATTTCAAAATTTTCTGTGATTTTTTTCATTTATTCATTACTGCTCTTCTAAAACACAATTTCTATATGAGTTTACTTGATCAGTTTCTTTACGAATATTTAGATTTGTGGTGGCTAACGTAGCTAACAATGACATCACAATTTGCGAAAGCGGCACGTGGAATCCTACGCATCCGGGGAGGGGGGGGTCCGGAATGAAGCTCAGGAGTCATGATCACTTGGGCTTTCAAACGCGCGTTATCTCATTTAAGAACTTTTATACTCATTCGGAGATGTGGTTGAAAAAGTCCGAAACAATCGCCAGTCAGTGTGCTCAGAAGCTTGACAATTTATTCCAATGACAAGTTTTTATGCGACACAAAATTATACTTGCAGAAGTCTTTTCCCAATTCAATCATCCAAGCATTGTTAAGGGCAGCGCACGAAAGCCAGTTTTCTTTATGAAGTTTGCACCAGAACTTTAATACTGGCGCATCAGAAGGACTTTCCTAAATTTTCTTTGCGTTTTCACACGATGGTTAGGTGAAGTTTCTCTAACTTGTTAAGGTATGCTGGGTTATGCTATGTCTCACCAGTAAACAATTATGTACGTGTTACGACAAGCTAGCCCAGTATTCCCTTTTCGTAGGTGGGGGGATACAAGGCATAGTGCAGTGCTCCCTCCCTAGTGAATGTGAGGTAGATTTTGCACCCCTCTCCCATGCGCACACCTATATGCGCGGACGCAGTTAGAACCTGCAGGGTGGTTTTTTTTTCTAGACAAGACTTTCAAGTAAAAATTGTTCCACTAACGAACCCCAACATGTTCGCTAAGATCTTCAGGGCGCACGTTCACATTAAAACGTTGCTGGCCATGCAATTGATAGCATAACCTTTTTTCAGACACAATAAAAGTGCCACGTTAATCGACATACTCTTTGTCTTAATTCTAAGGTGATATCTAAACAGACAGCATGCTGCACGCAGCATGCACTGCATCTGTTACGTAGGAACGCAACTATGTGTTACAAGGAAGTAAAAAAAATTTCTATTAAAGCTTACTGAATCTGGCCTCGAAATTTGGCAAGCGTTCTATAATACTCAACTGCCCAGCTCATTGATTGCGTGCTGTGTGCGGTGCTTGTTTAAAGGGGTCGTGCAACGTTTTCCAAAAATTTTGATCGATGGGTGCATTCAGAATTCTGCACACCTAATTTATACCATACCTCCACTTGTTTAATCGTCCGGTTCATTTAACTGCAAAAACAGTTTTCATTGCCCGTTCACAGTCCCCGCAACTCCAAGGCTGACTTCATTTTACGTCGGCCAATTGAGTCTCCATCGCCTACAAAACAGGACGAAGCCGTGACGTTTCTTATAATATAGTTTATTGGGGTTTGTAGCATTAGTGTCTATTGCGGCACCTTGAAGCCGTCCCGATTGTTGTTTCTACTTTGCTAAGTTGCACGGCACTGTCGGACGAAGCACACTGTAGGCACAGAAAATACTAAGCCATTTAAAAGGCACTATACACTAAAACACGCAGTACTACAAACACGAGGGGTGAGCGGAATCAACACGTTACGAGGACCAGGTATACAGGCAGAACCGTGCAAATCCGTTCATGTACTTCATTATACAGAGGTCAGAGTGCCATAGTTTCAGTGTTACTTTTGTATTTTTTTCTTCAGAGTGTAATGAATCTATCACTTAAAAGCAAAAGAAAGCTGACACTCCGTTTTTTTTTTACCTTGAAGTTTCACTGGCTTCGCATGTTAGGGCCCAGGATAGCATATAGGGCCGTATGGTAAATTAGGAGCCCGAGATCTGCGACATAAAACGGGCGTCAACAATTATAAACTAACCATTGCGCAGAAATACTTCGCCATTGGCAACTTTTTTCCTTATTGCAGCACAAAAAATTACAACCGGGCATCTTTGTTTACGTCAAACAACTTTTTATAGTTTACATAGGCGTGCAATACTACTTAGCATTTTTCAAAAAGTGAAGTGGTGTTCAAAATCGAATTGCCCGCTTCAAAAAAATGACTGATGTTGCAGTTTTCCTGGCCACAGATTGAATGCAAGATGAGCAATAAATGCCACACGCTAGAACAAATCAACACATGAGCGTAAGTCAGATTATGTTTTCTAAACAAGGCGAAAACTTATCACTCTGAATATGGGCAGAGAGACCCGTTTGGCAGCTAGACTTTAGCTGCCAATCACCGCATTCGCGGCTTGGGAAATAGGCTACCGGAGCCCAAACAGGTATTGCCGATTGTGCACCAACGCCGACCGCTGATGCACCCTGAATGCCCGCAGGCCTCGCTGAAGACATCTAATTGTCGCATTCTCGCAATTTTCATTTCAACCTCACCCAATTCTAAGTGCATCCTAAAGTTCGCCGATTCTGTTTCCTATGTTCCTCTGTGGCTCATGGTGATGGACGATACTATTGGGTAGGTTGATGCCCCCGTAGCTGATGTTATATGCATTAGCGTGTCTGAAATAATGTACTTCCTCATCTTACTTCCTCATGTACTTCCTCATCGAACAAATTCACCCTTGTTCCCACCCCTGGACATCAAAGACTACGCACTGACCTTCCCGGGATAGTACAACTGGGAGTTTCGTTTCCTGAGAAGTCCCATAGTGCGGCTCTTGTCTCACGTGCCACTCCTTTTCTCTTAGGCTCTTGGCCAAGTATCTTAACGTGCAGTCATGTCTTTTTATCCTTTGGTGGTGGGTTCTAGGGCACTGTTGCAAAACATGTCCTTAGAATTTGTCTCCACTATCACATGCAGGCCGGCATTTATTTGAGACATGTTGTCCATGTTTCAGTAGAGTTAGGTTAGGGATGGCGGTGCTATGGAACCTGATCAGGTCAACGTAGTCTCTTCCTTTAAGGAAGGTTGTTGCCTCCCCATTCCATGCCGTCAATCTCTTAGCCCTCAAACAGCGAGTTAGTTGGTCTGCCGTCAAAACTCCGGTGTAGGACTGTTGTCCAGTACTTGTGTGCGGCTGCAGAGCTATTGATGACGCCCCCATTGAACAAAGCTAAGCCCCCTGCCTTTCTGACTGCTCGTCTTACAAAGTATTTACTTGCTGCCACCGAGGACTAGTAGTGATCGCTGAGTATCGGCAAATTCAGACGCCGCAACCTCATGGCCGGGATGACTGTCCTCAGGCACATAACATAAAGTTTATCTTACGGGACAGGGGCGTAGAAGAAGCCGATAGTGACATCTAGTGGAAGGTTCAACCATTTCCGTACTGTCCCCCTGATTATCATGCCAAGCGTTTTTAACAACTTTGACAAAACTGGTCGCAAGACCAATCGATGAATTAGCTTCTGTGCAAAGTAGTGCCGCAAGGCTACTATTGTTTGTTGCGGCTTCAAAGGTACCTTGATTAGCCATAACAACATCAGTTCAAGTCTCCTCGCACTGTATTGTTACTTCCCATAGTACCGTCAAAGCGAATCCCTAGTTGTTTGCATATCGAAGTGTGGGAGGTGACTGAAATAGGGTTGTTACCAGTTGTATATGCGTGCTGCGTCTCAACTTAAGCCCTCTTGTCTCGTCCACTAGGCAATATTGTGAGAATTTTGGACTTTTCCGCATTTGCTTCAAGACAGCGTTTCTTCAAGTAGTTATTCAATGTGCTCAGTTGACTTTCCAGCCCAGCTCTGGTGCTAGCTGTCAGGATAATGTCGTCCGCAAAAGCCATCGTGGTCACAGACAGCCTTTCACTCTCAAAGGTAATGTGGGCAGGCTGATTCCCGAAGAAATCATCCAAGACTAGGTTATATAAGAGGGGTTTAAGGGAGTCCCCCTACCGCACACCTCTAGATGAGTGCGTCACCATGGTGTGGGCTCCGTAGGTAAGCACTGTGGTCACTCTTGAGTAAACATCTGTGAAGTATGAGCAAAAATTTTCAGCAATATCTCTTCTTCTTAGACTGTAAATAATCTCCAGGTGGGCTACTCGATCGAACGCTTTTACTACATTCACTCATGCCATCGCCACGGGGCTCAGTTTGTGTCTGGCCTAGTCCATCACAGTCTGCCGAAAAAGAAGGTTCTTGGCACAACCATCAACCGGAATAAAAGACCTCTGATGGTAGTCGAGCTTGACACTGGCCATTAGACGTCACACAAAGATTTTGTGAAGTAGCGGTGCTAGAACATGGAGTACCGCGAAGGGTCTGTGCAGTGCAGCTGTCGAAGCTCCTGGCACTTTTGGAATGACGACACTACGGGCGTTACAAAGCAATTATTACAGACACTTTTGCATGGCCAGAAGGTTACAGAGAGCCCTAAGGAGGATCATTGGGGACGAGTGCAAGTGCTTAGCAGAAAACTATCCTGTCCCGAGGCCGGGCTTTGCAGCGACATGGCCGATATTATGTCTTGCGCCGATATAAAGAATCTGGGATCAATAGTCCTCCAAACACTCCTGTTCGCTGTTAACAGGCCATCTCCAGGGAGTGTTTGAAGTACCTCACGACATTCATCAAAGAATGCGATCGGGTCCTCAAATAGTTACATTCCCGTTTTGTCCAGGATAATTCTGATGCAGTGAGACCTATATTGTTTGAATAAGTCCTGGCACATTGAATATTCTCGTCTCTTCCGTTTCCGACAACTCTCGAGATGTGGAGCACTCGGCCTCCTCGGGGCCCTTCTCACTTCAGTGAAAACAACGAGGTGGGAGTCAAGAGCAGCCTCTACGCGTTCTCCATCCAGAAAAGTCTTGGTGATTTCTCACAGTCTCTGAGCTTGGAAAGTCCGGGGTGGTGGCTTTGTCACCAGTGTAAGGAGTTCCTCCGCTATTGCTCCTCTGAGATCAATGGACTCGACAACCTCCAAGTGTGCCCAACTGTCCTCAGACAATGGCCCACCTTCCTCCTGTTCAGCTTCATGTTTTTTTTGTGTCATCACTTTTTTTCAGTAATTC